TAATAGGAAGCGTACTGATGCTATAGTTTCATAACTTTCTTTATTCAGGGACAGGGTCTTACTCTGTCACCCAGGTCAGAGTGCAGTGGCGCGATCTTGGCTCACTGCAACCTCTGCCTCCCAGGCTCAAGCAATCCTCCCACCTCAGCCTCCCAGGAGCATGCCACTACACTTGGCTAAGTTTTTGCATTTTTGGTAGAGACAGGGTTTCACAATGTTGCCCAGGCCAGTCTCAAACGATCCACCTGACTCGGCCTCCCAAAATTCTGGGATTACAGGCACGAGCCACCATGCCAGGCCTCTTAACTTTCAAAGTAAGAATTTTACATTGTTACACAGTGCTGGAAGAGATATGACCCTAAAATCATGGACCTTTATTACAAATCAGTCATTCTCAGCCATTAAATGACTACATCTAGTAGAAATAATTAATCATCAAACTTATTAAGCAAGTACTATATCCTTAGCAGTGTGCTATAGATTGAGAATATACAGATAATCATAGGGCATATATAAACTATATCAATTACAAGCTTTCCTGGGAGCCATGACATATGCACTTGACAGAATGGCTAACAGTAAGAGATATAAGTGCAGAGTAAGAACTGGCCGGGCGCGGTGGCTCATGCCTGTAATCTCAGCACTTTGGGAGACTGAGGTGGGTCGATCGCGATGTCCAGAGTTCAAGACCAGCCTGGCCAACATAGTGAAACCCCATCTCTACTAAAAATACAAAAATTAGCCAGGCATGGTGAAGGGCACCTGTAATCCCAGCTACTTGGGAGGCTGAGGCAGGAGAACTGCTTCAATCTGGGAGGCGGAGGTTGCAGTGAGCTGAGATCACGCCACTGCACTCCAGCCTGGGCAACAGAGCAAGACTTCATCTCAAAAAAAAAAAAAAAAAAAATTATTTGGTGGAGGAGACATTAGAGAACTAACACAGCCTCATGGGGATGTTGTGGGTTTGAAAAAGGCACTAGGAAGAGGCATAGGCACATCCAGGATTTCATACTCTAGGATTTCATTCAGAAATCATTCTGAGGATTTGTTTGGTCAGAAGCAATTTTGGGGATGAGGAGACACTACTCAGGCCCCACTTGATAGCGCCTGAGACACACAGCAGAGAATGTACTATCTGTGTGAAGATCCCTGACAACCCTGAAAGGAAAATGCAATTTTGTATTCACTGAACTCTCAAATGAAGATAAGTACTGCTGAGGAATAGAGATGTATAAATTAAAGATGCTATTATGACTTCAGTCTAGTCATGTTGCTGATTTTAAAATGGAGTTATTGTGAGGTTAGATACCTCCAAGATGCTTGGCATTTAAGACCATCTCTTTAGAGAATACCTACTGGGACCATTTTAATTATAAATCTATTTTCAAGGAGTTCATGTAAAGATTCTGAACCAGCATTCCTCACTTAAGTTAGCATTTGTGTCATTCATGTAAAAGAAGATGGCGGCCATCTACAGCAAAGTTTACCTCACTGTAGTTATTGGAGTTTTGAGGTAGCTGAGTTCCAGAAAATCCATGGCTGACACTTAAATCAAATATCTGACAGACAGGGGATGAAAAGACAATGAAATGGCCCTGTAATGTTCACTTGCCAGCTACCCTTTCTCATTATTTAAAAACTAAAGTTCTATAACATTTTAGAAGAGCTTCATATCACAATTTGTACTATTATTCTAATACGCTTAAAGTTTTAATTTCCTACATAGTTACGTTTTACTTTTTATGTCATCTATCATTTAAGTCGGCCTGCAATCCCAGCACTTTGGGAGGCTGTGGTGGGCAGGTCACCCGAGGTCAGGAGTTCAAGACCAGCCTGGCCAACATAGTGAAACCCCCTCTCCATTAAAAATACAAAAATTAGCCGGGCCTGGTGGCACCCACCTGTGGTCCCAGCTACTCAGGAGGCTGAGGCAGAGAATCGCTTGAACCCGGGAGGCAGAGGTTGCAGTGAGCTGAGATCATGCCACTGCACTCTAGCCTGGGCAACAGCACGAGACAGTCTCAAATAAATAAATAAATAAATAAATTCATTTATTCATTCTTGATATCGCTTTTAACCAAAAAGTACATGTTTCTGAAGGTGTGAAACAGAACCACCAAAATCAAGCTCATACCTACTTTTTTAAATGTGCACAGAATAAATCTTGGAAGAAAATACAGCTAAATGTTAAAAGTGGTTTGTTTGGGTAGAAGAACTAAAAACAATTGCCTTTTCCAAATTTCACCTTCTAAATTTTGTCGTGGCATAATTAACATTAAAAACAATGTAAACATTTAGAAATACCTACTAAATCAACTTCATTCAGTTATATAAATACCGACACTGTAATTAGTTTCATATCTTTTTAAAACAAAAAATGTTCAACCAAATGCTTTTGTTTATCAAAAAATCTATGTTGAGAACAAATTACAACACATGCTGGGTAAAAACCATATTAGGCTCATATCTAATTAGCAGAATGTCTATATCTAAGAAAAGTAAGCAAGTTATTCATCAAGTTTATTATTTAATTATATAGAATATACTGTCTTGATTAAAATACCTTAAGGACATCAGTTAACCATCAAAGAAGTTCAGTTCACAAAGCATAAGGGCTCGGTGTTATGGCTCAGGCCTATAATCCCAGCACTTTGGGAGGTTGAGGTGGGAAGACGGATTGAGGCCAGAAGTTTGAGACTAGCCTGGGCAACATAGGGAGACCGCCCCCACTCCCATTTCTACAAAAACGATTTTTTTAAAATAAAGAAAGCATAGGCCCACCATTAGCAAAGGGTTTGCAGTTGACGACAGTCAATAATGAGGAAATACATTTCCATTACAACCAACAAATAAGATTACTCTTTACAATTAAATTAAATTAAATTAAATTACAGGCTGGTCACAGTGGCTCACACCTGTAATCCCAGTACTTTGGGAGGTAGAGGCAGGTGGATCACATGAGGCCAGAAGTTTGAGACCAGCCTGACCAACCTGGTGAAACCCTGACTCTACTAAAAATATAAAAATTAGCTGAGTGTGGTGGCTCAAGTCTGTAGTCCCAGCTACTTGGGAGGCTGAGGCACAAGAATTGCTTGAACCTGGGATGTGGAGGTTGCAGTGAGTCAAGATTACACCACTGCACTCCAGCCTGGGTGACAGAGACTCTGTCTCAAAAAAGAAAAAAAAAATAATAATTGCAAGTAGAACCACAATTTTAAAATCTGATATTATTTTTGTATATCAGTATACAAAAATGGTGGCCACATAAAAGAAGTTTCCTGTGATTCTGCTGTTAATGAACCAGCCCACTCCCCACCACCTCTAACTTTATTGTTTCAAGGTTTTAAACAGGTCAAAGGAATTGATACTGGCCCTTTTACTTACGTAATTCACAAAAGCATTATCAAATAAATAGCCATACACAAATTAGAAAACAAAGATCCAATAAAATGTGACTCTCTTTCCAATGATATTGAAAACATAATCAGAAAAACAGCAGCTCATTGAAAATAAAAGCAAAAACTTCTTCACATTTAATTGCAAACCTTTTCCCTATTCACCTGAATGATCAGGTCATCATATAACTTATTTTTTCAACAGCTTTGAAACATAGTAATCCTAAAACATATCAGTCAGCAAGATAAAATCCATTATCATGCACCTGCATCATGAAATACAGGTGCACCATGAAATACATATATTCAAAATGTTCTGAAAACAATTTACAATACTTGGGCCGCATTTCACCAACACGTGCTTAGGCTACTTTTCCTTAATAAAAACGTTAGAAGAGGCCAGGCACAGTGGCTCACGCCTGTAATTAGCACTCTGGGAGGCCCAGATGGGTGGATCACCTGAGGTCAGGAGTTCACGACCAGCCTGGCCAACAGGTGAAACCCTGTCTCTACTAAAAATACAAAAATTAGCCAGGCGTGGTGGTGTGCACCTGTAGTCCCAGCTACTCAGGAGGCAGAGGCAGGAGAATCGCTTGAACCTAGGAGGCGGAGGTTGCAGTGAGCCAAGATCGCATCATTGCACTCCAGCCTGGGTGACAGAGCGAGACTCCATCTCAAAAAAAAAAAAAGAAAGAAAGAAAAAGAAAATGTTACAAGAGCCACCCCTCCCCAAGGGAAAAATAAGCACCAGCAATATTCCAGTGTTTCAAGACCATGGACTTAGGCAGAAACTAGTCCCGGCCATGCCCTTTGGTGCTGGTGAACAGGGGAAGGTAAGTGATGTAACTAACCTCTTCAAGTGTCAGTCTCCTCATCTCTAAAATGGGACGACAAAACCCCAAGGCCATGTTTTAAGGATTTAGTGAGCAAAATCCATAGCACTAGCAACAGAATTGAGCTGCCACTCCTCTTATTATTAATTTTCCATTTATTTTAATATAAAATCTATGAGAAAATAAATATTAGCACTGGAGGGAAGGAAAAGTGTGGATTATTTTCTGATTATTCTTATTTTTTTCGGTTCTTAAGCACTGCATGCAGTATGACTACCTCTTCGGGAGTGCCAGGATAGATGCGGCAACTTGTGCACTTTCGTTGGGCAAAAAAAAAAAGAGCATGCTAAGAATTGATTCCTTTGAATCAACTTTCATTTTCATTTTTATTTTTGAGACAGGGTCTCGCTCTGTCACTCAGGCTGGAGTGCAGTGGCGAAATCATGGCTCACCGCAGCCTTGACCTCCCGGGCTCAAGCGATCTTCCCAATTCAGCCTTCAGAGTAGCTGGGACTATAGGCGCACACCACCACACTCAGCTATTTGTAGAGATGGGGTCTCACTCTGTTGCCCAGGCTGCTCTTGAACTCCTGGGCTTAGGTGATCCTCCTGCCTTGCCCTCCCAATCTGCTAGAATTACGGCATGCGCCACCCCACCTGGCCTGATTTCATTCTTAACAGAGAATGAACATTGATTATTTTATAGCAGGCGGAAAATTAGGGGTTTCAGGAATTTCACTCTAGTATGCTGTTCCCATGCGGAAGAGCTCACCTGAGTTATAGAAGGTCTCTTCTCCTTCCCTTTTCTGGCCAGTGTGTCCAGCCCTTTTAACGAAGAAAATATTCCCTTCTTGTTTCTCCCTCGCTGGGTCAGTGACAGTGTCCTTTTCCGGAGAGCAGAGTCATCTCTAGAACATACCTAATGTAAAACACAGTTTAAAAAAATCTAAAGGCTTAGTATTTGAGTGGCAGAAAAAACTAACAGTTGCCCTAAGGAAGCGAGCTCTGCTTGCTATAAACGCATTCTGACCATCGCCAAAAGCTACTGCATGTCTGAAATGCCAGGAAAGCATCCACCATATAGACAGCTCTCATCTGGATAACACAAGTTATGACATTCAGGTCTCTCCATGGTGGGCAGCAGTGTCAGCAAAACCACTACAGACCCCTAGGCTGAGCTGACACAACACACAGAAGGCACCAAAATGGGAGTGACTTCAAAAAACCCAACGAGGCGCTCTGCAGGACAGAGAAAACAACCTTTAATCCATCCTTTAATCTTCACCCCACTGTTGCTCCTTCTCCAGCATCCCACTTTCCTGATGGTATGAGGTGGAATACACGGAGAGGCAGACAGAGATGAACATGCAGTAACTGTCCACTAGCTGCTGGACTCTAAGCAGTAGAGAAACTGGGGGCTCTACAGCACGATGTCTGGTCTCCTTCATCCCCAGGCCCATGGCCTCTGGGTGACCTGGCCTCTAGGTGTCCGTTGTTGGGTCAAGTCCCACAAGCGCTGATGGCAACAAGCCAAAGAAAGGGGGAGCATCCGCAGCCCTCCCCGAATGCTGCAGAAACAGCCTTCCTTAGGAACTTACCAGAGCATGGAAAGAGGAAACAGACAAGATGCCCAGCCTGCCGAGGGCCAGCTTGGAGGGGCGGCTAGCGGCTGCAAGGAGACTCTTGGGGTTCGGTAACTCTCCACCTTGTAGGCTGGCCAGATAGCAGCGCATCCTGAACAGATCCATGTGAAATTTCTCAAGATTCTGCTCCCACTGCTGGATCTTAAAGCAAAAACAGAGGTGATTTAAATAAAAATTAAAAGTTTTCATGGGTTAAAATGAAAACGTGATCCCTTTCACAAACTTGAAGAAAAAAATAGTTTCAGCTGGTCTGCATGGTTTAAATTAGCCTTGCCTGCTTACCCCATCTCAATCCCTCCCATCCAAATGTATTGGGTCCTTTGGGAAGTAAGGCAGGCAGATCACTGAAGGTCAGGCATTCAAGACCAGCCTGACCAACACAGTGAAACCCCATCTCTACTAAAAAACAAATAAACAAACAAACAAAATATATATGTGTGTGTGTGTATATATGTGTGTGTGTGTGTGTATATATATATGCACACAAAAATTAGCCAGGTGTGGTGACAGACACCTGTAATCTCAGCTACTCTGGAGGCTGAGGCAGGAGAATCGATTGAACATAGGAGGCGGAGGTTACAGTGAGCCAAGATCATGCCACTGCACTCCAGCCTGAGCGACCGAACAAGACTCTGTCTCAAAGAAAAAAACAAAAAAATGCACTGGGTCATCTGGCACTACACTTCATCAGGATAGCCAAACAAAACCAAAAACAAAAAGCCAGTGGTCCCAATACAGTGACATGCCAAAAAGGCATGATGTTTGGAGAATGCCAACACTCTAACCATCCTGACTTAAAACAGGATGCAATTTGCAAGTCAGCTTTTTCACTTTGCTTCATTTCCCTTCACATCTACAGTTCCTGATCCTAAACTAGATTAACTGAACTGCACACAAACAGATGCCAGATAAATGAAAGTAGTGACTTTATGTTTCTGTTCATTCTGAGTAAATGACTCAAAACAATAAGAAGCAAATGGACTTCAGGGATAAGGGCAAATAGAACTTTTACTTAGAATAATCCTAAGTATCTTGAAGAATAACTACCATCTGTACATCTAAATAAAACTAAAGTATATGCAGCTGTTTACACCACAGAAGTTCCTATGAACTTCTTCAAAACGTAAGTCATGATTTAGTAAAGAAATGCAGCCAAACTCTGGGAGCCACTCTCCTTTCTCCCAAGGATGTCAAAATGCATTACCTACAAGTATTACCTTCATGCAAAGACAAATTATTAATAATAGGTGAAGAGAGGCTCTTGTGACTTGCCAACACAGGGACTCAGCAGAAGAACGAAAAGAACAGAAAGCTGTGATTCAAAAGGTCTTAAGAGCAATCTCAACACTCAAGAGAAGGTCTGTAAGTCAATGCTTGTAATAAAGGATTCAGTGTGAAGAGTGAGGTTATTTCAGGTCTAACAGTTGCAGCTTTAGTTCTGCCATGTTGCTGAGCACCAAAATGGACCTTAGCCTTTCACACTAAGCTTTCTAGGTGAATCCTTCATTCTGGATACATGATACTTTGAAGGATTTCCAACACTGGACACTCTGCCCCCTCCAATCTCTCCCCATAGAAAAGTATTACAAATTCTGGGCATTTCCCAGACCTTCTCCAAGTTCTCTGTATCTATTTCTTAGGTTGGTCGCTGCACAACTTTTCTGCATGAAAGAAAAACAGTCAAAAGATCTAAACAAAGAATTTCTTGATCATCATCATTTGTCAGCAAAACAGTGACATTCCAAGGTGCATTGAAACAATGTCAACATCCATAAAGAATTTAACCTCACTTAAGATCCTGTATACCCATATTAGCAACGTGGTGGCCCACTGGTATCAGCCTTGAATGGACAGAATGACCTGTTGGCTTTTAAAAATGCAGATGCCCAGGTCCTACACCTGAAGATTCTATCCATTAGGTCTGAGGTCTAGGAAAGTTTACATTTCATAAGCACCTCCTGGGATTCTGGTGCACGGCCTTACTGATGACTCCTGTTCTAGACTAACAAGACAGTTCAAACTGAAACTGCAAGTCTCTTCCGGGTCCTGCCATATTAGAGAATTCCAGATTCCAGAGTGACGGATGGGTACAAACTGACACCTTACTTAAGGTTCAGTAAAAACTCTAATCTCAGTTCTGTTTCCAAACATCTCTCCAGATGATTCCTGAAAATCCAAAATTATAGATGGATTCCTTTGTCTTCTAATAATATGTAGACATTCCTAGATTGAATAATGCATTAAAGTTTATCACACTCATTTATGCCTCAGTGTAAAACACTTTATCAGATATTTTCTGAAGGTTGTATAGAGGGTGAAGATGTAAGAGGAAAGAAAATGAATGAGTGGCCAGGCACAGTGGCTCACGCCTGTAATCCCAGCACTTGGAGAGGCCAAAGGGCAGATTGCTTGAGCCCAGGAGTTTGAGACCAGCCTGGGCAATGTGGCAAAATCCTGCCTCTACAAAATATACAGAAATTAGCCAGGCATGGTGGTGCATGCCTGTAGTCCCAGCTACTTGAGAGGCTGAGGTAGGAGGATTGCTTGAGCCCAAGAGATGGAGGATGAAGAAAACTGACATCATGCCATTGCATTCCAGCCTGGATAACAGAGTGAGACTCTCTCCAAAAAGAAAAAAAGGAAAGAAAAAGAAAATGAAGGAGTCCTTGGATACCAGAAGGTAAAGATGCCCATGCCATTCATGATGGATTAAAAAGACAAGAAAGGCCAGGAGCGGTGGCTCACACCTATAATCCCAGAACTTTGGGAGGCTGAGGCAAGCAGATCATTTGAGTTCAGGAGTTCAAGACCAGACTGACCAACATGGTGAAACCCCATCTCTACTAAAAATACAAAAAAACAAACAAAAATTAGCCATCTGTGGTGGCAGATGCCTGTAATCCCAGCTACTCAGGAGGTTGAGGCAGGAGAATCACTTGAACCCAGGAGGCGGAGGCTGCAGTGAGCCGAGGCCACACCACTGCACGCCAGCCTGGGCAACAGAGTGAGACTCCATCTCAGGAAAAAAAAAAAAAAAAGACAAAATAAAATAAACTAAAATCCAGGTCTATGCCAATCACCATAGATTGGGGAAGAAGACAATCTCTTGTATTTGCACTGAGTCCTGTAGTTTTAAAAGTATTTTTGAAAGCACTATTTAATGTATTTATGTGACTACACATCAAAGCAGCACTGAGAGGTAAAGACAGTTCCGTCCCAAACCATACACTGGGAATCATAAAGTTTTGTCAGAAACACTTAAATAATCTTCAGCACTCATACACCTCTCCACCCAAAGCTTGGGACAAAATACAGATGAATTCAGAGGAAGAACACGGACCCAGATGCTTAGGTTTGTGGGAAAGTCAACAGGGCTGGAACACCCCAATAGCCCAAAGGAGACCTTATAAAAATCAAGACGTTTGTTGTTTTGATTATATCTTATTAAGTTTCAAGACAACCAGTATCTCAATAAACTGTACACTGTAGAGTTCATTTAAAATTTAATTTAGTAGAAAAAGCAAAGGAAAAGTAACCTTATGACTTCTCTATTTCAGCAATGTTCCTTATCTTCTTATCTTTATCCTGACTGGAGCGTTTTTTGTTTGTTTGTTTGTTTGTTTGTTTGTTTGTTTTTGTTTTTGTTGTGAGACAGGGTCTCACTCTGATACCCCGGCTGCGAGTGCAGTGGCACTGTCGGCTCACTGCAACCTCTGCTTCCCACACTCAATTGATCTTCCCAACTCAGCCTCTCGAGACCACAAGTGCATGCCACCACGCCTGGCTAATTTTGCATTTTTTTGTAGAGACTGGGTTTTGCCATGTTGCCCAGCCTGGTCTCAAACTCCTGAGCTCAAAGCAATCCACCTGTGTAATGGTTAATATTACATACCAACTTGATTGGGCCATGGGGTACCCAGATATTTAGTCAAACATTATTCTGGGTGTGTCTCTGAGGATGTTTTGGGGGAGATTAACACTTAAGTGGGTAGACTGAGTAATGCGGATTGCCTTCCCTAATGTGGGTGGGCCTCATCCAATCTGTTGACCACCTGAAGAGAACAAAAAGGCTGACACCCCCTCAAGTAACAGAGAACTCCTCCCCTCTGACAGCCTTCAAACTGGGACACTGGCTTTTTTTCCCCCTTGGCTTTGGACTTGAACGAAACATGGGTTCTTCCTCAATCTTGAGTCTGCCAGTCTTCAGCCCAGAACTACACCGTCAGCTCTCTTCATTCTCATGCCTTCGACTCAGACTGGAACTATATACCATTGGCTCCCCCAGGTCTCCAGCTTACTGACTTACCCTGCAGACCTTGGGACTTGCCCTTTTCCATAAATGCATGAGCCTATTTCTTATAATAAATCTCTCTCTTTCTCTCCCTACACAAACACATACACACACCTCTTCATGTATACCACACATCCTACTGGTTCTGTTTCTCTGGAGACCCCTGACTTACACAGCCTTCATCCCTGTAGATCTCTGTGGCACAGTAAGCCATCTTTACTCACATATCTATTCCATATTGAAAGATCATAGTCATCTTATTTTTAAGGTCATGGTTCTTTATAGAAAGAATCAGTCACAGAGCTTAAATGAAGATTTGTGGTTAAATAAGAATCAATATGAAATATTTGACTTTTCTTTCCACAGACTCACCAAAGTTGTAGAGAGGAACTTGAAGGAGTATTCAAGTAAAAGTATGGTGAGGCCCCAGATTCAGATGCTTGGGTTCCTTAGAGGGAAGGAAGATGGACAAGTGCTGGACCCATAGGCTCACAACAGACCTTATAGTATTTAGAAAGGCTGTTAACATTTGCAATGAAATTGCAAAGGAGTTGATATTACCATACCTTCATTTCTCAGCAGGTGAAACTTAGGTCCAGAAGAGAAGCGATTTGACCAGAGTCACGTAAAAAGTTCGCCCTACCAGCCTAGCAGACCCAAAGCTGATTCTGATGTGAACAACATGTGGGGCACAGGGACGCTCTCAAGTTGCTATGACGGGGCCCCTGATTTCAGGTCTTCTGATTCATAGGCAGATACCTGTGCATTATCCTAACCGTGACCTCAGCAACTTTCATTTACATTTTTACCTGTCAATTTTATTTCTGCCCATATACCCTCAGGTATTCTA